ACTTACCGATCCACCAAAAGGCCCATCCCCTTTTGGAAAATCATAGCCAAAGGTAAAGTTGCCCCTGCTGCTGCTGCTGCCGCTGCCGCCGCCCAAACCTTCCTCTTCCTCTTTAGCACTGAGCAGACGCTCATCATCAAGTGTCATGCGAATCGTCCCCGGGCTCCGCGCCAGCTTCAGCGGATCGGGCCACTCGAGGCCGAGGTTTAAGCTGCCACCTCCTCCGCTTACATTTTTCCTCTTTGGCGAAGAGGCCTCAGATATTTCCCCGTTGCTTCCTTTTCGCTTCAAAGTGTCTTTTGGCGATTTAGCCTCTGAAGGATTTTGAGTCTGAGGCCGAGTCTGAGACTGAGGTCCCGGGTAGCTGTTGGGCCCTGAAGGCAGCAGCCCCTCCCGCGCGTAGCTGTGATCCCGCCGAACGTGCCCGCCCGCCGGCGAGCTGAACTCCAGTATCTGTATCATCTTGAGGAGGGCGAGCCGGTTGGCGCTCATCGCCCGCAGGTTGGCCGCCGCCCGCTCGTACCGCGAGGGAATCACCGCCATCAGGTTGTAGCGAATGTCGTGCTCGGTACTGTGGTGGTGACTGTGACTGCCCTGGCCGCCGCTGACGGTGATCTCAATTCGCTTGCGCATCAGCCGCCGAAACTTCTCCGTCCACGGCTCGCCGCCGTTCTCGCTGCCGTCTTCGTCCACCGGCCCGTGGTCTATCGGCGCCTCCTTCAGGCCGTCCAGCTCGATCAGCCGCCCGCCGATCGGCAGGAAGGAGACGTAGTGGAAGGCCTCGCAGCTGCTCGAGTGCCGCTGGCTGATGCGCACGGCATTTGTGGCCGCCCCCTTCGCCTGCTGCTCGCGGTGGGCGGAGAGGGGCGCGGCGTGGCTGTTGTGCGCCACCGCCAGCTCGGGGATGTTCGAAATGGCGTAGCCCTTCGACTCGGCGGACATATCGCGTGTGTAGTCCTGTCAGAAGGTAGGAAAAGGTTTGGTTTAGTTTTAGAGCTTAAATAGAATCCTAGAATTGGCTTACCTTGAGCCTTCGAAGCATCGGCCCCAGGTCGACCTGGCTGCAGTTCAGCAGCACGGAAAGAATGGCATGGGTGGCGCAGCTGTTCGGCACCTTCTGGTAGGCGAAGAAGATCTGCTTCAGCAGCTCCTGGTTCGCCTCGTTTCCGTCGTCCTCCAGCAGGTACTCGCCCGTCAGCAGGCTGCTCGGAGAGGGATTCTCCAGCGGGGTGTCGCCGAAGCCATAGCCATAGCCACCACTGCCAAGGCCACCACCGCCGTTGCCTCCGCCGCCCAGTCCTCCTGAAGAAAGAAGATTATCGGCGGCGTCTCGCCGCCTGCTTCGATTTCGCCGCTCCTCGATGACGTTGAAGAGGAAGATGAAGCCGTAGACGACCGGCTGCTGCTCGGGGAAAGGCCGCTCCAGGTCGTAGATCTCCTCCACCTGGACGCCGCGGACGCCAAAGTCGCTGATGAGGAGAGAGAAGAGGCCCGGGTCGGATTCAAGTTCCAGCCAGCCTTCACTGAGCTGTGCCAGCTGAGGTGGAATGTCAACAGTGGTTGTTGGAGCTNCCGCGGACGCCAAAGTCGCTGATGAGGAGAGAGAAGAGGCCCGGGTCGGACTCCAGCTCCAGCCAGCCTTCACTGAGCTGTGCCAGCTGAGGTGGAATGTCAACAGTGGTTGTTGGAGCTGCTGCTGCTGAAGATGATGATGATGAGGATGAAGTGGTGGATGAGGTGGCCATCGACGAGGCCTGCTGCTGATCAGAAGATGCCGAAGATGATGAATTTTGATTTGAAGAGGAGGAGGAGGCGGTCGAGGTGACGGAGGCTGCTGCCGCCGCCGCCGCTGCCGATCCTCCGCTTGTCATCCTGGTGGTGGTGGTGATGACAGTGGTGTCCAGAATATCTTTTTATATTGTCTTCAAGAAGTGGTCCGTCCAAGAAAGAAAGAAAGAAGAAGAAGAAATAGAATCAAGAACAAAATAGAACCAAAGTCAGCAGCAGAAGAGAATCACAACAAGAATCAAAGTGAGAGAGAGAGAGAGTGAAAAAAAATAGACAGCCGCTGCTGCTTCTGCTGCTGCGGCGGCGCTACAATCGATGGTATCGAACGATAGTCGAGGGAAAATGCTGCTGAATTTTTTTTAATAATTTTTTTTGTCGATGATCAACAAAGATCTGATCAGAGGGTCTGATAAGGGGATTTGATAAAATCTGATGAGTTCATGATGATCATCATGCTCATCGTCTCTCGCAGAAGAAGGGACTGGAGAGGCGGACCAGCTTCGTCAGCGTACAGCTGAAGACGGGCATCTCCTTCTTGCCGTTCATCTCCTTCCGCTCGTCGTCGTCATTTTCGTCCACCGGGACGCGGGACTGCCGCTTGAAGGCCACCTCGCGATTGACCAGCGTCAGCAGGGTCATCAGGTCGAAGGAGGATGATCTTTGGATGGCGAATCGCCGCAGCACACCGGTCAGGTCCTGGATGAACCAGCTGCCGTTTACCGAGTTTCGCCAGCTGTAGTGGCCCGCGTAGGTACTTCGGTAGACGAGAAAGTCGGCGTGGGTGGGGATCTTCGCAGGGACGAGCGCCGAAGAAGAAGAGGTGCTCCAGGGAAAACTTCCTCCAGGACCATGTCCGTCGACCACCAGCTGATAGCCGGCGTCCAGCTTCCGCCCTCGACACGCCTGAATGAAGATCATCTTTGGCTTGCCGGCCAGTGTCGGACAGGCATCAGGTGTGAAGCTGTCAATCAGCAGATCCTCGTTAATTTCGCCGTCGGAGCAGAGGAGAACTGAAGAAAGGAAAAAGTCGTCGATTTTAGAGCTTCAACTTCAAAATAGAACCCCCTCCCAAAACATACCATCTCCCTCCCGTCCATGCGTCAGAATGGCCAGGACGAAGCTATCGAAGGGTCGATGGTCGACCTGTCTCTTCTCCGTCTCCAGGACCGCCCTCGTCCCGGCCACCGAGAGGTCGTGGTGCACCAGGACCTGGTAGTGGAGGTCGCGGAAGGTGGCCACCAGCGCCTCGACGTCCACGCGGCTGCCCTGCCGGGGGCCGCCGTCCTCCAGGTGGGAGAAGTTCTCGTAGTTCAGCACCAGAGCGCGGCCGCGAATCGACCTCGAGCTGGTCAGCTCCACCGTCGGGTAGTACAGATCTTCAACGGTGGACCCTTCGGTAGAAGAGGACATTTGGTTTGGAGAAGTACCGGAAGATGTTCGCTGGAAGAGCTTCGGCAGGGGATTCCAGTCGGTCTCCAGGCGGCGACCACCGTTGCTCATGTTTGTTTGGGATTTCTAAATTACGAGTCGCTTTTGTGTTGTTATGAGTGGAAAGAGGAAGGAATCAGGCTCAGCTCAGGCAAAGACGCAGCTCCGGCAAAGCTTTCTTGAGAAACTGAT